GGCAAGCTCATCCTAAATCCCATGTGATCAAACTGTACTAATTAGTCTATCATGCGGAACCAAGCCATTATCAAAGTTTTTAGTAAAATCCAAGTAAACAATGTCTACTGCTCTGCCCTCATCAATCTTTTTGGTTACTTCCTCAAAAAAAATCAATTACGTTTAAGAGCCATTTCTCCCTTGCACAAAACCTTGTTGACTATCCCTAATCATTCCTTACCTCTCCAAATGCATGGAAATCCTACCTTTCAGAATCACCTTCAACAACTTACCCACCACCAATGTCAGACCACAGGTCTATAGTTCCCAGGCTTCTCCTTACAGTCTCTCTTAAATAAAGGCACAACATTAGACACCTTCCAGTCCTCTGGCACCTCACACATGCTTAGTAATGTTGCAGATTGGGTTTAATAATAAAACAGAAGCTTATAACACAAACAAAATGAAGATAAAATAGAATACTGAAACTATTTACATTTTATACAAATTTAAAGATTTCAAAACACGTGCTAAAATACAATCTCATTAATCTCAAAAACCCTCCTTTACAGTACTCAAATATCACAGAGAATTCCCTTCTCTTTCAAATCTGAAGGCTTAATTTAATGGTGCCTTCAATTCCCATCTTGAGAATCTATAGCCTCTTCCTGGAGCTTAAACTTTCTCAGCCTCAATAATCTCTTCAGTGTTATAACGAAGCACTTCTGGGTCTGGAATTTTTCAGCTGAACTGCTTATACTGATGCAACTTCTTTCTTAACAGTCCTAAAATAACCTCCCTTTCTCAGGAGCAACAGTTCTGCCCATCCAACTTCAAGTAAGCTTTCCAGAAACCGCCCCAACTAAAAGTAAAAAGCTTCTTTCTAAGCTATGGGTGATTCTCCTAAGTCTAAATCTTTCCCCCCCCCGGAGTCTTCTATCTGAAGGCTACACCATTGATTTTGTTCATTATAAATTCTCCCAATGAAATCAAAATCCAATCTCCAGGAAGTCTCTAATTCTGTGTTTTAAAATCAGCAGAGCTACAAAAATACTCACAACTTAAACTCCAGACACATAAACCCAACATACTAGTTTAAAATTCAAAAATTTAATGTAAATGATATTAAATATTGATAGATTACACAGTTTACATCACAATTGCAAAAATACCTTTTTGTTGCTGCATGTTGAAGATGTTGCAAAATTTGTGAGAATATTCCTATGATCACCTTTTTTTGGCAGACTTGAGCAATTTGTTTTTGAATGTATTAATTTAGCTTCATAAAACTAGAAACTGGAGGAAATCTTGTTATTGTTTATGACTTTTCCTTATTATTTATGGAATGTGGATGTCGCTGGTTAGGTCTGCATTTATTACCCTCCCTTAGTTGCCCTGGAGAAGGTGGCAGTGAGCTGTCTTCTTGAAGTGCTGCAGCTTTTGGGGTGTTGGGACCATTGGGACACCCACAGTACTGTTACAGGAAGGGAGCTCCAGATTTTGACCCAGCAAGAGTGGAGGAATGGCAATGTAGTTCCATGATACTATGGTGTGTGGCTTGTTCAGGAACTTGTAATTGGCCGTGTTTCCTTATATCTGCTACCCTTCTCCTTATAGATGGTACAGGTTCCGAGTTTGGAAGGTGCTGTCAGAGGAGCCTTGGTGAGTTACTGCAGTGCATCTTAATCATACATTGCTGCCACTGGTGACACAGGGAGTAAATGTTGAATGTAGTGGAAGGTAAGTGCTGAACAAGTCAGCTGCTTTATCCTGATGATGGCAAGCTTCTTCCATGTTGTTGTATCCAGGCAAGTGGAAACTATACCATCATGTTCCTGACTCAAGCCTTTTTATTACATTATTTATAGAAGACAGAGAAAATCAGGTAGGTTTGGGCCATGCCTGATAGGGCACACAAGGATCTCTCATAGAATCATAGACTATTACGGTATGGAAAGAAGCTTTGCAGCCACCATGTTCACATTTGTCATCAACACCTATGTACCTGAATCCCATTTCTCAGCGCTTGGCCCATAGCCTAGAATGATATCACATTAAGTGTTCAGCAAAATATTTCTTAATCATTGTAATGGTTGATCCTGAATTGTGGAATAAAATTGCGTTTCTACAGTTTAACAAAGAAAAAGTAGCTTTTAAAATAAAAATCTAAGAATAATTAAAATTTGAAGAAAGGAGACTTCACATGTGTAGAAGTATATTTTTAATTTAAAATAATTTGGCAGTAATTAAGAATTATCACGTTGTTCAAAATTCAGCTAATTTTAATGTGTGAGCCCAAAGCTCTCCAGGCACTTTTTATGGGTAACTAGTGTTAAGTAAGTACTGCAAATGTCACAGCTTTCCACATGTTTCAATGCTGAGTTTATCAGTAGGGAAGCAGTATAGCAAATATATGGAGCAGTTACATAAATCAGATAATGACTTCCTGACTTTGCTTTTGTGTGAGAAGGCCACAAATCCTACTAACAAAATAATAGTGAGCACTTACTTATTATTACCACAAATCCAGGCCATGGCATTAATTCACATATTTGTAGTACACAATATTGTTATATGTCAAAAACAACTATACCTCTTCAGTCTACACAAAGCAAATTAAATTGCTTTGTGATAGCTCTAAAAGTAAGGCTTTTCTGAAGAAGGGTCCCAACCCGAAATGTCAACTTTCCTGCTCCTGTGATGCTGCCTGGCCTGCTGTGTTCCTCCAGCTTCACATGGTGTTGTCTTGGACTCCAGCACCTGCAGTTCTTGCTATCTCTACATTCTTATATGTCTGCCTGCTGCACCATTATATATTAGTGTAGCGTGTAAGGAAAATACTGTCTTTTCCTGGGTTTACTCCTCAAATGCAACTTCAATTCCTTCTCTGTTCCCTGTGCTGAATTCTCTGACGTTTAAACCAAGCCATTTCATAGCGGACAATGGCACTACAGGATTGCCTTTAAATGCATCGCATCAACACAACACACATAATTTTTACCAGTTATGCTTTACTATGAGAAACATGGTCTTAAAGTCAGGAATAATGACATTGTTTTGACACAATTTGGTCGACTGTTAGAATAATATTGTTGTCTGAAACTTTTCAAAGAGCAGGACAAGTATAGAAGACAAAATCTGCAAATCATAAACTCAATGATAATTTTCAGTTCAATAATTTTAAGTTTTTATTTATTGTAATTTATAATTTGAAGCTATGTCAGCTTTAAGGGTAATAGAAAACAAAATGTGATATGAGTGAAAACATCATGGATTAGCCAGTTTAGAAGGAGCATTATGTGTGCCAAATATATCTTTGAAAAATAAATGGCCTGAGCAAAATTAGACAGCTACTATAGGGGTTAACACAAGTACAGTATTTACATGAGCAACTGAGTGTAGTTGCATAACACGACTTAAGTTTAGATAGTTGAGCAGGTTACTATGGACACAGAGTATGCTGGAAGAGAACACTGAAAATCAGAACACGGAAAATCAAGATGAAATCAGGAGATAGGTCAGTAGGTAGACTGTAGAACAGGAAAGAAACAGTTACTGTTTTACCAGAGAGTATAGCTCACAGAATCTTGTGACTGAGCAGATAAGTTGTGAAATAAGCTTAAAACCTGGTGCACTTTGGTGACCTGCCTTGTCCAGCTTGAACTTTGGACACAAGATGTGAACCTTTGGCATTTAAAAATTTCATTCAGCAAGCTGATATGGACAATGTGAATGCTTAGTGTTTGTATGTTTATTATGATTGATACATGAACTTAAGGCAGAACCAACTTCATTGTATATAAAATATTGAAATTATAGACATGAGAATCACAGATCTACTAATTAACAAGATGAACCAGAGGGGCCACATCCAACACTGAATTTAAAATTAAGTAATGTAAAATTCCTGTTGGTGAGGGATTATTAAAATTGAATGATTGTATTTCATTGAGGGCTATTCAGAAACAATTCCTGGCTGCTATTTGGTAGACTTAATTTCAAATGCGATACCTTATTGAAGTACCTTCAGTCATCCCAGTTCAATTCATTTTATTTCTTTTTAGTGATTTGATAAAATTACTTCTGTTAAACACATTAGTGAAAACAAATTGCAAAAATAAGTTATATTAGACCCGAGTTTTAACTTTACCCACCTGATGCATTTTTAAGGTATCCATTTGCATCTGCAGTTGTGTACATGATATATGGCCCAGGCTGATTCACCCCAAATGGCTACAGGAAGAAACATAAATCAAGTGAGTCTACACACATTGCACATACAACTTAGCAAATAATGCTTTAAACAAGTGAAATCTGAGCAATTGATTAAATTTCTTCATATTAAGAGGAAGCGCTTAATCCCATTGGGCTGTGTTACATGCCTGTATCATCAACAACTTGAAACTTCTTTTTCCAATTTTCCTTAAAAAATGTAACATGCTCTGATAATCCTCTGTATAAAGAAATATTTCCTAAAACCTTTCCTCACTCAATAATTCCAAATAAATTCTGCATTCAGAGGAAATATACAAGGCCTTTGGGAGACCACATCTGAAATACTGTGTGCAGTTTTGGTCTCCCATTTTTGAAAAAGTTGTTCTGGCTATGGCAGGAGTGCAACAAACATTTAACAGACTGACTCTTCGGATGGCAGAACTGATGTATGCAGAGAGAATGGATCAGTTAGGACTGTATTCACTGGAGTTTAGAAGAATGAAGGGGGTCTCATAGAAACTTGTAAGATTCTAACAGGACTAGACAAGGTAAACTCAGGAAAGATGTTCTTGATGATTGGGGAGTCATTTTAAAAACATATAGCAGCAGGAGAGAACCAGTTAACACATTGAGCCTGTTCAATATTCAATAATGTCAACTCCACTTTCCCACGTATTTTTCGTTACCCTAAGAGATCAAAAATCTATCTCATTGAGCCTTGAATATACTCAACAGTGCAGCATGCACAACCCTCAAAAATTTACAGCCTACTGAGTGAAAGAATTTCTCCTAGTTTCAGGCCTAAATGAATGACCTCATATCCTGAGACTATGTTTGATTTATCTTCAAGGGGAAACAAGAACTCTGAACTACCCTGTCAAGCCTCTTCAGAATCATGTACATTTCAAGAAAATCTAAAGTCCAGAATCTCTCATCATAGGACAACTCTTATTTCATCACAGGAAGCAATCTAGCTGATGTTGTACTGTCTCCATTGTAAGTGAATTATTCCATAAATATGAAACTGCAGAATATTCTATGAATAGTCCCACCAAAGCCTTATACAAGCATTGCTCCCTTATTCTCATACTTCCAAATCCGTTGCAATAACAGCCAACATGTCACTTTGCTTCCTAATTGCTTGTTGTGGCTGCATGTTAGCCTTTTACGTTCCTTGTACAAGTACACCCAAGTTTCTGAATATTAACATTTAAAAGTTTCAAGCCCTTTAAATAAAACATTCTTGTTTTCCTTTCATATTACCAAGGTGACTAATTTCATACTTGATCCACACCTTGTTGCCTATTCCTTTCATCTTTTACTATCTCTTTGCAGCCTTTTTGCATCCTCCTTATTCACACATAGCTATGTATCAGCAGCAAATGTAGATGTGTTACTCTCAGTTTCTTTGTTTAGGTCATACATAGAGATTCAAAATAACTGAAGCTGCAGCACTGATGCTTGTGGCACTCTGCTAATTATAGGCCATCAACTTGAAAATTATCTATTTATCCCAGCTCTTTGTTAATAATTCCTTCATTAACGCTACTATATTACCTCAAATCCATACCTTTAGCACTAGGCTTTTGCGTAGCACCCTGTCAAATGTCTTTTCAAAACGCAAGATTATTACATCAAATGGTTCCTTTTACCTAACCCAGAGCAATATCCTCCATAGGTTCTAATAAAATTGTCAAACACAATTTCCTTTTTAATAAAACCATGTTGGACTTTCTAATCATTCCATGATTTTCCAAGTGCATAGTTGTGACCTAATAAATAGATCCCAGCATTTTCCTTATGACTGAAGTCAAACTAATTGGCCTGGAGTACACTTTTTTCTTTCACTTTTTCATTTCACTTGCTAACTTTCAACTGCTAGGAACATTTCTAAAAGCTAGGAAATTTTGGAAAACCTTGGAGATTTGACAGCTTTCATCCGCTTTTCTGACATTACCTGTTATAGGTTTAAACCCAGAGAAACCATTCCTCTATGCCAAATCTTTAAGTTTGACAATAACTGATTCTATCCAGATTTCCTCTGAACTGTGAATTTTTCTTACATGTATACCAGCAACACTTGAGACCTTAGAATTTCTCAACTTTTGATAATGTGCAAATGTCTAACCAAACACTTCTCATTTGGAAATTGCACAAACTAAATCTTACAACTGAAGTAATGGTACTTTTCCAGATTTGTTCTATACTTCTTATTGGAAAGGCAAGAAAGACCAGCTTATATTATCAGAACAATGGCACAGCTGGCTTCTTGGTTCATTGGCTGATTTTTATTCCCTTTTCTAGACATCACTGAAATAGGCCCTTTGGCCTTCCATGTGTATGCCAACCAACAAACACCAAACTATATTTCTGAAGAAGGGTCTAGGCCCGAAACGTCAGCCTTCCTGCTCCTCTGATGCTGCTTGGCCTGGTGTGTTCATCCAGCTCTACACCTTGTTATCTCAGATTCTCCAGCATTTGCAGTTCCTACTACCTCTGAAACTATATTAATCCCATTTACCTGCACTTGGCATTTTAAGTGCTGTGTTGCAAGAATATCTGCCTCCATCACCCTCTCAGACAGCACATTCCGTATTTCTACCACCCTATAGGTGAAAATCATTTCCTTCTCCTTTTTCATTGTCTTCTTTCCTGCCTTCATCATTCGAGGCATAAAGTATAAAAATTGGCAAGTCATGTTGCAGTTGTATTGAACTTTAGTTAGGCCAATGTGGAATATTGCACACAGTACTGGTCGCCACACTACCAGAAGGATGTGAAGCCTTTGGAGAGGGTACAGTAGAGTTTTAGCAGGATGATGCCTGGTTTGGAGGGTATTAGGTATGAGGAGAGATTGGACAAACATGGCTTGTTTTCATTTGAACGTCAGAGGCTGAGGGGTGACCTGGTAGAAGTTTACAAAATTATGAGAGGCACAGATAGAATGGATTGTCAGATTCTTTTACCCAGAATAAATGTCAATTACTAGGGGACATTGGTTTAAGGAAAAGGGGGTAAGTTTAAAGGAGATGTGTGAGGGAAGTTTTTTTTTTGAAACAGACGGTGGTAAGTGCTTGGAATGTGCTGCCACAGGAGGTGGTAGAAGCAGGTACAATACAACATTTAAGAGGCATCTTGACAGGTACATGAATAGGGAATTGAAGAATACAGACTGCATAGAAGCAAAATGTTTTTAGTTTAGAAAAGTATCATATGTTGGCGCAGGCTTGGTGGGCCAAAGGGCATGTTCCTGTATTGTACTGTTCTTGTTCTTTGTTCCTTCGCAGTAGAGAAATTTTACTTGGTTCTGATCCCAGTCAGGTCTTCTTTAAGGTGCCCTATAATCTTCTAATCTTGGGCCTTTCTGAGCTAAAATAAATCCTTGGTTAGTCTGTAATAAAAGCAAGCTAATGTCATTCAATAAGCAATTTCCCATTAATGCTCTGGAGAACCTTGTTTTCTGATACGTGCATTTTAGGTCACTGTTATGAAGGACTGTCTAACCTAATTATATATTAAAAACCCTGTACAAAAGTAACCCACCCATATGCCAATATTTTAAAATCCAACTCTAAAAATGATATCAATCACACATCTTGTATCACATTATATTCTTGGCTAGTTTCCTCTCAGTGAATCTACAACATAGCTCTTTAAGACATTAAAATCTTTCCTCTGATAATGCATTAAAATCAGTACACGGTAGTCCTGTGTACTAAACTGACTTTCTTCTTCATCTACTGAATTCTAGTAATTTCAGATTAAAAAAAATTTAATTGTTTAAACCAAAACACAAACAGATGGTTAAGTCATTTTTAAAGTACATTATATGATCCATTTTCTGATCATTAAGACCACGTTCTAATCTTTCACTACAATGCAGTATTTTTCCACGGAGATTAGTTTTGGCACCCATTGTCTATGACCAGACAAGCATCAGATGCATTCACTATAAATAGTTTTTAGTAGTACTGTTCCAGTACAGGCACAACACTGGCATCTACCTGACAATGTAGAAAATTGTCCAGGTATGCCCTGTACGTAAAAAGCAGGACAAATTCAACCTGGCCAATTACCGCCCCATCAGTCTACTCTCAATCATCACTAAAGTGATGGAAGATGTCATCAACAGCGCTACCTAGCAGCACCCGCTTAGTCACATCCTGCTCAGCGGCACTCAGACCACTAGGGTCAAAGCTCTTGACCTCATCACAGCCTTGGTTCGAACGTGGAGAAAAGCGCTGAATTTCAGAAGATAGATGAGAGTGACAGCTCTTGACATCAAGGTCACATTCAACCCTCCACAGCATTAATGAGCCCTAGCAAAACTATAATCAAGGGGAATCAGAGGGCAAAATCTCCGTTAGTTGGAGATATACCTGGCATATAAGAAGATAATTGCAGTTGTCAGATGTCAGTCATCTCTGCAGGTGTTCCTTAGGGTAGTGTCCTTGGCCAAACTATCTTCAGCTGCTTTATCAATGACCTTCCCTCCATCATAAGGTCAGAGGCGGGGATATTCGTCGATGATTGCGCAATGTTCAGCACTATTCATGACTCCTCAGATACTGAAGCAGTCCATGTTCAGATGCAACAAGACTGGGACAATATTCTGGCTTGGTCAGACAAGTTGCAAGTAACATTCGCATCACACAAATGCCAGACAATAACAAACTCTAATAAGAGACAGTCTAGCCACAGCCCCCTTGACATTACCATCACTGGTTCCCCCCGTTATTAACATCCTGGGGGCTATCATTGACCAGAAACTAAACTAGACTCACCATATAAATACAGTGGCTACAAGAGCAGGTCAGAGGCTAACCCACTTCCTGAATCCCCAAAGCCTGTCTACCTTCTTCCAAGTACAAGTAAGGAACATGATAGAAGACTCTTCACTTGCCTGGATGAGTACAGTTCCAACAACACCAAAGAAACTTGACATCATCCAGAACAAAGCAGCCTGCTCAATTGGCACCACATCCACTCCCTCTAACACTGGCGCTCAATAGCAGCCA